TAGTAATGCATAGCCTTTCATCTGTCATAACAATAGTGGGAAGTGTTTAGTAAGGTGTGGCCTTTCGTCTGTCACAACAATAGTGGGCAATGCTTAGTGAGGTATAGCTTTCCATCTGTCATAACAATAGTGGGAACTGCTTAGTAAGGTATGGCATTCCATCTGTCATAACAATAGTGGGCAATGCTTAGTAAGTTATATCTTTCCATCTGTCATAACAATAGTGGGAAGTGCTTAGTTAGGTATGGCCTTACATCTGTCATAACAATAGTGGGAAGTACTTAGTTAGGTATGGCCTTCCATCTGTCATAACAATAGTGGGCAATGCTTAGTAAGTTATATCTTTCCATCTGTAATAACAATAGTGGGAAGTGCTTAGTAAGGTATGGTCTTCCATCTTTCTTAACAATAGTGGGAAGTGCTTAGTAAGGTATGGTCTTCCATCTTTCATAACAATAGTGGGAAATGCTTAGTAATGCATAGCCTTTCATCTGTCATAACAATATTGGGAAATGCTTAGTAAGGTATGGCCTTCCATCTGTCATAACAATAGTGGGAAATGCTTAGTAAGGTAGATATGGCCTTCCATCTATCATAACAATAGAGGAAAGTGTTTAGTAAGGTATGACCTTACATCTATCATAACAATATTGGGAAATGCTTAGTAAGGTATAGCCTTCCATCTGTCATAACAATATTGGGAAATGCTTAGTAAGGCATAGCCTTCCTTCTGTCATAACAATAGTGGGAAATGCTTACTAAGGTATGACCTTCCATCTGTCATAACAATAGTGGGAAATGCTTAGTAAGGTATGGCCTTCCATCTGTCATAACAATAGTGGGAAATGCTTAGTAAGGCATAGCCTTCCTTCTGTCATAACAATAGTGGGAAATGCTTAGTAAGGTATGACCTTCCATCTGTCATAACAATAGTGGGAAGTGCTTAGTAAGGGATAGCCTTCCATCTGTCATAACAATATTGGGAAATGCTTAGTAAGGCATAGCCTTCCTTCTGTCATAACAATATTGGGAAATGCTTAGTAAGGCATAGCCTTCCTTCTGTCATAACAATAGTGGGAAATGCTTACTAAGGTATGACCTTCCATCTGTCATAACAATAGTGGGAAATGCTTAGTAAGGTATAGCCTTCCATCTGTCATAACAATATTGGGAAATGCTTAGTAAGGCATAGCCTTCCTTCTGTCATAACAATAGTGGGAAATGCTTAGTAAGGCATAGCCTTTCATCTGTTATAACAATAGTGGGAAGTGATTAGTAAGGTGTGGCCTTTCGTCTGTCACAACAATAGTGGGCAATGCTTAGTGAGGTATAGCTTTCCATCTGTCATAACAATAGTGGGAACTGCTTAGTAAGGTATGGCCTTCCATCTGTCATAACAATAGTGGGCAATGCTTAGTAAGTTATATCTTTCCATCTGTCATAAAATAGTGGGAAGTGCTTAGTTAGGTATGGCCTTACATCTGTCATAACAATAGTGGGAAGTAC